TTGCCTCTAGGAAGCAGCCTGGTTTCAATCTCCCCAGGGCAGACCTCTTTATTCTCCTGGCAGTCCCTGATATATTTAACACTCTTCTCCAGCACCATAGCTCAAAGTCATCAATCCTTCTTTTACCATCCTTAGTTATTGTCCAGCTCTTGGATGCATAGCAAGAAACTGCGAAAACCATGACCTGGATCAGGTGTACCTTATTAACTGATATTGTTGCTCTTCAGTATTCTAGAAGAGATCCCCGACAGACTTTCCCAATCTTTGGATTTCCTGTTAGTGGCAAGAGTGTTGACTGTGGAACCATGCAAGCTGAAGTTATTAACAATTTCAATCTCTTCTCCACCTAACATAAAGCTATCAATTGGCTTAGTGGTGAGAATCTTTGTTTTCTTTATACTGAGCTTCAATCCATAGGCTGCAATCCTTGACCTTCTGCATCAAACACCTAATGTTTTCTTCAGTTTCAGCAAGCAAGGTTGTGTTATCTCTGTGTGTGTGTGTGTGTGTGTGAGGTGGGGATGTAAAACTTACTTTGAAAAGGGTGAGAGGTTTGCAGGCATCAACTCTGTGGTACTTGGCAGCCACAGCTCAGATTGGCTCCCTTGGCTCATTACATCTCCCAAGTTTTGCCTTTAAGTCACAGATATCGTGCACCCAGATACAGTTTTCAATTGCAAGTGCAAATTTTCACACTACAAGGCTCTGATGGAGTTTTTAAAATATGTATGTGTGTGTATGTATATCAATGTTTATTAAAATATATATATATATGTATATTTGTGATTGTTGTTATGCGCCATCAAGTCATTTGCGACATCCAGGGTTTTCCTCTCTGTGCTGTCCCTCCACCCTTCTAAGTATGATGCCCCTTTCTAAGGACTGATCCCTCCTGGCCATGTGCCCAAAGTATGTCAGACAGAGCTTCAAAATCCTTGCCTCCAACAACCAACCTGGTTTTACCCTCTCCAGGACAGACTTGTTTATTCTCCTAGCAGTCCACGATATATTCAATACTTTTCTCTAGCACTACAACTCAAAGGCATCAATTCTCCTATCATCCTTAGTTATTATCCAACTTTCAGATGCTTACCAAGTAATTATGAAGACAGTGGCCTGGATCAGGCACACCTTCATCTCCAGATTGACACCATTGCTCTTCAGGAATCTGGAGCAGACTTTCCTAATTATGATTTTATTTCCTGGCTGCTGGTAAGAGTGTTGACTGTGGAGCCAAGCAAACGGAATCTATTAACAATCTCAATCTCCTTACTGTCTATCATGATGCTGCCAGTTGGCCCTGTGGAGCAATTCTTTGTTTCCTTGATGTTGAGCTTCAATCCATATTGAAGGCTGCATTCCTTGACCTTCTGCAGCAAGTGCTTCAGGTCCTCCTCAGTTCCAGCAAGCATTGTTGTGTCATCTGCATAAAGTAGGTTGTTGATGGGTCTTCCTCCAATCCTTATGCCACACTCCTCCTTAGAGAGCCCAGCCTCCTGGTTGATCTGTTCTGCATATAGATTGAAAAGGTATGGTGTACACCCTTTCTGGTTTTGAACATACAAGTGTTTTCTTGCTCTGTTTCGACTGCCTCCTGGTCCAAGTACAGGTTTCACATAAGCACAAGCAAGTGTTCTGGGATTCTCATTCTTCTCAAAATCAGCCATAGTTTACTGTGACCCACAAAGTGAAATGCTTGTACACAGTCAATGAAGCACAGAGATAAGGATAGCACAACTAGGACAGGGTTTAAATTCATTGCTTGTAGTGTTGCTATGAGTTGTATAGGACTGTACAGTACCAAACAACAATAACTATTTCACAACTAACTCAGTCCCACTTAGACAAATACTGTATAAAACCATTACTGAAAATGAGTATGAGGATCCAAGGGGGAGGAAATAGTGGGGTAATGATGGGAGAGTAGCATGTTAATCATAGGGTTGCACAATTTGATGCATAGGTGGGGTTAATGAAATGGGGACAATCTTTTGTAAAAAAACAATGTATTCAAACTTTGTAAATAAATAATAAAATGTAATAACGATGTCACAGAAAATACCATGGGCAGAAGTAACACATATGTATGTGTGTATAAACAGAGAAAAGAGCGATAAAGGGTGTGTGTCTGTGTGTGTAAAAAAGGGGGGAAGAGTATACATATTCTTTGAATTATTTTCATTTTTTATTTTTTTTATTTTATTATTTTTGTGTGCGTATACCGTCAAATCAGATCTGACTGGTACAGGAGGAGATTGTCCCTCCTTACCCGGCAGAGCATCTGGTGGATTCTAACCGTTCGCCTCTGGGATTGTAGTTGCAGCTCCTTGCCACTAGGCCACCAGAGCTCCCCTCTAATTATTTTCATTTTTGTAACGTCCTTGTAATTTCAAATTCTTTCCAAATTTAAGTTTTTTAAAATTATAACCCTGACTCTATGACTCAAAATTTAAATCGTGTTTAATACATTTTAAGAGAGATAAAGATGCAGCATACAGTTTAGTAAAGCTTTCATTAAAAAGCTTAAAATTTCAAGTTTTTATATTTAGGAGATTAATCTTTGGTTCACTACAAAAATATATTCTTATGACCCCTTTTCATGCTAAAAACACTGAATAAAATGTGGTTGTGCAATGTCTTCTCATTTTGCTAACAACACTTGAAAGAATGATGTAAACAAATCATTCCTCCAAGCACGTCCTCAGATGATTTTACATCTTTTCCAGATCCTCATAAGACATTTATTAAAGGGGGGGGGGGGAGAAGAATATATTTCTACGTCACAGATCAACAAAAATAGCCAAAGTCACACAGCTAAATCTTTCAAAGAAGAGGGTATGTTCTGTTAGCTTTTTCAAGAAAGACTTTTAAGTGTTTCCTTTTATGCATGGGTGAAAGATTTTTTTTTTTAATCACAGCACCTTCTATAAGTGAAAAAGCATTCCTGTAGGTTTTGGTTGGGTTTTTTTTAGGGTTTTATTTTTTATTTTGCATTATTCTCACTAACTTAAAATCATTTACAGGTTTTATTTAAATATATTTTCTTTCTTCTATGAGATAAGCTTGCAAGTAATCTCTAGTCACTCTTCTTAGAGTTCTTTTTAGTAACTGATATTCTCTACGCAAGTTTATCTTTTAGACTGCTTGAGCTTTATCTGCTAGATGTGGGTTAATATGCATATTATCAGGTTTTTGTCTAGCAGCTCTTATTAATTAGAACTATTAACTAATTAATCTATTAGAATAACAGTAAAAAGACAAGAAAACTATTAGCTCTATGTTAAATCAACAATAGTAGTTATATTTTGAAATTTCTTTATACATCTTCAGGGACTTTAAGAAAATTTTAAGTTCATTTTTACAACTTTTTTTTAAAAAACTGTAAATGCCTTTATGTAAGTTATCTGGTGTTATTTACTCTGTGTTCATTATAGCAGAGCAATGCTTTCAGGAATGGGCACAGGGTGGGCAAAGGCCCACAAGAGAGGACAGCCACGGAGATGTCAGGGCTCAGTTCCAAGTCTTCCTTAGAGTCCTGTGTTTTCCAAACTCAGAACAACTTGCAACATTCCTATAGTTCTTAAACTACAAACAGTGTTGCCGTGCTGCTTCCTACTCACCTCCTACTCAGAGTCAAGGCGCGCTCGCTCGCTCGCGCGCTCTCTCTCTCTCTCTCTCTCTCTCTCCTGAGATAAAACCAGACTGTGTATCAATGAAACCTTTCCTGAACTCCTGATGTTGAATCTGCAAATGGTTAATGCACTTGGCTGTAAGCCTGAATGTTGGTGGTTGAGTCTACCCAGAGATAACTCAAAAGCAAAGCCTGGCAGTGTACTTTCCAAAAAAATCTGTTATTGAAAACTCTGCAGAGCACAGTTGTCCTCTGACCTACAGGAGTCTCCATGACTGGAGTTGACTCACTGGCTCCTGAAATCTAGGCCATAACTGATGCTGTGAGACATTTTTGACTGCTCCAAGTGGCGTAGTGACAGGAAAAGGACACCCAGAACTAGTGGGTAAATCATCCTCACTTTCCACAAATACAACTTGTTGCTTTTTTCTTTTTTCTTTTCCTCACCCATTCTATCAAGAGTCATAGAGCAGGAAAAAAATGATAGATTAGGAACATTTCATTGGAAAAGATGAAAGGAAGGTCAATCTGAAAAAAATATGGATAATTAGACTTTATGGGTAATGCAACTACCAATCTGGAACAGGATGGGCATGGGATGAAGAAAGAAGGAAGGGGAAATAAATCTGTATAAATGAATGAGTAAAAAACAAAAAAAAAGGGAAAAAAAAATCTAAACTGGGCAGCTCCCTGGAGGCAAGGATTCTGGGGCTTCGTCTGACATACTTTGGACATGTTGTAAGGAGAGACCAGGCCTTGGAAAGGGACATCATGCTTGGGAGGGTGGAGGGACAGCGCAGGAGGGGAAGGCCCTCTGTGACATGGACAGGACAGAGCAGGGTTTAAGGATGTTGTACATAGGGTCGCTATGAGTCGCAAGCAACTTGACGGCACACAACAACAACACAGCAATAGGCACCATGATTAAAGGTCTTGGCTGCCAAGCAAAAGGTCAGTGGTTGGAACATCCCATCCACTCCATGGAAGAAAGATGTTGCAGTCTGCTTTCACACAAGTTGTTGTTGTCTTTTAGTCAAGCATGACTCATAGTGACCCTATGAACAAAAGGCCTGAAGCTTTTCTATAACTATTGACACTTATCAAAGTTCATAAACTTTCCAGAGGAGTGTTGTTTAAGAAGTGGATGCCAGCCTTGGAAACCCTCAGAGGTAGTTCTACTCTGTCCTGAAGGGTTGCTCTAAGTTGGAACTGACTTGATGGCAGCAGGCTGGTTTCTCACCCCAGTGTACCCTGAGGTGTAATTGTAACCAGCCTCCACACACACAGTGATGGCAGACAGAGAGGTGGAGACTATACCATTCTGCTTAACACATGATGTCTGGGGCCCACAACTTAACCCACCACTCACTGAAATCACTTGCGTCTCCCCAGGTTTGTCCAGGTTCTCAAAAACAGCCTCTTGTTTGTCAGCTCGGACTTCAATGAGGTTTTGTTTGTAGTTAACGGTGAGGTCTCTCTCCTTAATGATCTCCAGAAGGGCATCTGCATACTTCTTCACCCCAAAAATTGCTCCAAGAGAAGTGTTGAAAATTATGTTGGCCTTGGATCGCTTCCCTGTCTGAGATTAAAATGATAACAGGATAAAGTACAAACACCAAAGCATTGCTTCAAACATCTCTTTTTTAAAAACCTAGGGAGGACAGAAGGAGAGTGGATGCTTTTGAGCTGTGGTGCTGGAGAAGGGTACTGAATGTACCATGGACTGCCAGGAAAACAAACAGATTCATCTTGGAGAGGATTAAACCAAGCTACTCCTTGGAGGCAAGGATTCTGGGGCTTCGTCTGACATACTTTGGACATGTTGCCAGGAGGGACGGGTCCTTGGAGAGGGACATCATGCTTGGGAGGGTGGAGGGACAGCGCAGGAGGGGAAGACCCTCTATGAGATGGATTGATTCGGTGACTGGGGTAATCGGGATGGGTGTGTCAGAGGCGGTGCGGTTGGCGCAGGATAGAGCAGGGTTTAGAGCTGTTGTGCATAGGGTCACTATGAGTCGGAAACGACTCGATGGCACATAACAACAACAACAACAAGACAAGAATTAAAGGCTTTCTTGGTTTTCCCATTATACTCTGGTAAAGGAGCTCTGGTGGTATAATGAGTTATATGGTTGGTCTCCTAACCAAAAGGTAGGTAGTTCAAACCCACCAGCTATTCCAATGGAAGAAAGATGAAGTAATCTCCTCCCATAAAGATTTATCATCTCATAAATATGATGGAGGGTTGCCACAGTCAGACTCAGCTGGAAGGTGGTGGGTTTACTCTGGTAAGGTCATATGTGTACCAGTCCACTGCCACCTCCTAATTTTCTATTGGCAACCTCGCCAGAGCACACTTGAATCTGGCCTTGAGCTTGGCTCTACTGAGTTGAGGCTATAGATGAACTCCAAGTTCAATCAAAGCCAGGACGAGGCTAATTTATTTATTTATACATCCAGTGATTTGAGCACACATGAAGTATTTCATTATATTGGCTGGGGTGGGACAGCTGTGTTTCAGTGGAAGAAGTCTTGCCTTCCATGTGGTAGACATGGTTTTGCCTCTGCTCAGTGCATCTTACACACAGCCACAATAACTTGTCAGTGAAGGTCATATGTTGGCAAGTACGCTGAACAGATTTCAGCAGACCTTCCCTCACTAAGAGAAACTAAGAAGAAAAACCTCATGACTCACTTTCAAAAATCAGTCACTAAAAACTCTGTGGACCACAAGAGTCTACAAGCAATTGTGGGGATGGCACAGAACCTGGTGGTATTTTTTTCATTGTTCAGTGTCACAAGGAGTTAGGGACCAACAAGATGGCAGCTAACAACAGTCGGCTGGTACTGTTTCAGGTGCTATGGGAACAGCAGTGAAGCAAAGAAACCTCCTGTATCCTTGGCTGTTCCACACTATGACTGTTGCCCTGTTTCAGTGAGGTCAGTATTCTTCCTATTCCTAAGGTATTTTGTCACCTGAAAAAGAAACGTGCTCTTAGGCCATCCAAGACTTAGGAGAAAAGGACTATGGAAAGAGAATTCCCACAAGGGAAGAAATGACTGGTTCCTTCCTCTTTTCCTTTGACCAGTTCTTTTTAAGATTTGTTCACCTTGGTCTCACCATTGTCACTTCTGTATGACTTAGAAAGAAGGCTTATTGTGCAGTGGGTTAAGTACTGAGCTGTCAGCCAGAAGATCAGTGGTGTGGATCCACCAGTCTCCATGAAGGAAAGATGAGGAATGCCCCTTCTTTAAAAGCTTACAGCCTTGGAAACACTACGGGCAATTCTACTTTTCAACAGGTTGCTGTAAGTCAAAAGCAACGCAACAGCAGATGTTTTATAACCCAGGATGAATACCCTTATAATTAAGAAACCCCAGAGGGCTTGCCGCAAGTTTCTAGAACTCAAGCAAAGGCCTTGCCCAGAGTCAGGTACCAAGTACACGTTGAACAGCTCTCATCCCCATCTCCTCCCCTGCCCCTTTCTCCAACCTAGCACTTCACAGAGCTGTAGGTTGCTTTGAATTTTCCCACTGTTCCAAATCAGATCACTTCTTAAAAAACCAAATGTCGCATCCTAGGCAATGACAGAGCACAGGGGCAGCTTCCCTCCAGCCTTGAGCCATAAGCACTTGAGCTGCAACCACCTGTTCTTACAGGTCTCCTCCACCCTTCCCACTCAGGGCTGAACATCTTGCCTGTTATGTTTTCAAAAGGGTTTGAATGGAAAGCCACAAAATATTCACAACCTAAGAGCCTGACAGAATCTAACCTGAGTGGGAACAGTCAGAGATAGCATTAAGAATAAAAATTACTTTACCAGTCTGCTCCATAAACTTTCATTCAAATCAAATAAAAAGTTTAAAAATGAACAAAAAAGTGCAACCATTCAGTGGTCTACCTTTCCAGAATTATTCAAACAATCTAACACCTCCGCAATGGACTCTTTCACACACATAAAAATCATATTACAAAGACTTAATATTATTAAAGATTTAATAATGTGTAATATGGTTGGCTCAGGGTTCAGAGCTATTGTGCATAGCATCACTAGGAGTCACAGGTGACTCAACAGCACATAACACGACAATGTAGTTAAACTGGGATATACAATATGATTGTAACCATGTTTTTAAAACTGCATACAGGAAAATAATGAGAATATGTCTAATCGATGGTAGGAGCTATATTATAGCAATGGGATTATGAGGGACTGCCTCTCCCTTTTATCCCTTCTCATAAACTTTTCATCATTTTAAATCTGTATGACAAAAAAATTAGGAATTAAAAAGGCATGCAGGAGAGATAGAGATGGAATTCTGGCTCTCACTGAGTTAGTGCCCTCTTCCTCCCTGTTCTTCATGACTAGACAAGAAGCATACCTTCCTGAAATAGGCTTCGGACAAATACATGATCTTCTGTGGGGCTCCCGCACACTTCACCGGGGTGTTTGGGAAGGTGAAGATGGCATTGCCCTCCTTGAAGTCCTGAAGAGCTTGCCATGTTTTCTCTACTGTTGTAACTGAATAATTGGACCCTATTTTGGGATGATCAAAACCTTCTGGTAGGCCTTTAATCTGCAACAAAGCACACACAAAAAACATTCTTAGCAAAAGTGCAAATGGCTTTCCAGTCCTCGTTCTCAGACACTTCTACAACAATTTGTTGTTGTTGTTGGGCATCACCAAATTGACTGTGATTCACATCGGCCCCGTGAACAGTGGATCTGACCCCTGCCCTGTCCCATGCCATACTCATCCCTGGTATACATGAGCCCACTGTTGCAGTCACTGTGTCAATCCACCACATTTAACATCTTATTCTTTTTCAGTGACCTTCCAAGTAGTATGTTTTTTTCCAAGGCGTTTTGATGGGAAAGAGGTTGTACTGAGAACCCAAAGGCAGCTGTTTCAAATCCACCAGTTGCTCATCAGGAGAAAGAGGAGCCGTCTCTTACTGTGCAAGTTACAGACAAGCTAGGAACTTACTAGAAAAGCAAAGTATAAGGCCTCACTCCAGACCTATGAAGCCAGAAACTTTGGGAGCAAGACCAACGATTTGAATTTTAACAAGCATTCTAGATGATTCTGATGTACTATAAGGGTTGCAAAGTGTATGTACTTTGGCACTAAAATAGAAATAAAAATATCTTCTTTATAGTGTTTTGGGCAGGAGTAAATGACACAATGCCTGTAAAAGGCTTACACAAATAACTGATACGCACAGTGAATTGCCCAAATTCTAGTTTATTGAAGTCAATACAATTAACTGGATACTTATCTTAATTGTTAGAAAGTTCACCAAGTGCAATTAAAATAATACAGATGAGCTCAGAGATTTCAACACCCGTTCACCAAGCAAGAGCTGGTTCAACTTCAATCATCAAGAAAGTCATCAGGATGGGCTGGTTCCTCAGAGTTGGCCCAGGCTACTCTCCAGACTGTACGGTGACCACTTGAGACACAGCAGAACTTCCTCTCCCCACACTCTCCAGTAAAGAGTCCTGTGATCTATGCCATTAGTGGGCTGGAGCCATCACTTATACATGCTCCAGGTTAAGAGCACTACTTCTTTGATTACTGAACATACCTCCTGCTTTAAGTAATTATAATATTATTACTAATTTGTAACCTCAATCATCATCATCATCATCACAATACTACCTTGTATCTCCATGTTTTTGAAGTTTCACATCTGTGCAAGTACTCGATATTCACCATACACCTCTGGGAGTGGTGGTGGTTGTTATGTACCACCAAGTCAACTACAACTTACAGCAAGCCTCTAATGCCAGATGAGAGCCGGGAACCTCTCAACACCAGATGAGAGTCTTGCCTGACTATCCTCTAGATCTCGGATATGCTCAAGCCCTGTCTCATGGTCACAGTGTCTATCTTGTTGAGGGTTTTTTCCTCTCTATCTCTGACCCTCCACCTTTCCCAGGACAATGTCTTTTTCCAAGGACTAACTTCTCCTAATAACATGCCAAAGTATGTGGTAGGGAAATATTAACCTATAACAGATGAGGAAACAGGAGCAGAGTAAAACTGAAAGCCCTTTTAGAATCTTTTATAACTGAGAACAAATGCCTCTTCCAACACCTTGGTTCCTAAAGCAAAACTCATGTCCAAGAGATAAACCAACAGCTGATCTCATTTCCTTGGTCATTCTTCTCCAGTCTGAAGAAACCGTTGTTAAGGGGAAAGTCACCATTAAGTGGTAACCAAGTTCCTTTTTTGGAAGACCTAAAACATGAAGGGAGCTCTCACCCAGTCAGAGCCGCTTCCTGGGAATTCTGAATTAGAGAGAGGCAGAGAGGAGGGAGAGCAGGAAATCAGGAGGAGAGGTTAGATCTGCCCTCCCTGTGACTGCCCAGTAAAAAGCTGTCCACTGGGGGAACATACACTGTTGCATTACACCAAGTAAACTGGGAAGCAGAGACCCTTCTCTACAGAGGACTCAGAAACCAATGTGGAAAAGAGGCATAAACAAGTGCAGATGTGGAGAGACTGGTTCTGACAGATTTGAAATCCAGTCTTTCTATGTCCACTTCTGTAGGCTGTTTGGGAGACAGTGTTGTTTAGAAAAAGTCTTTGAGTAATGCAAACAGTTAATGCATTCAGCTGAAAGACAGAAGCTCTATTCACTCAAACACACCAAGAAGTGCCTGTGATGCACTTCCACAACCTCAGTCGCTGAAAACTCTACAGAACACAGTTCTACTCTGACACACAGGGCACAAGACCGGACTGCAGCTGGTCTGGTACTGGTTTTGTGTTGATGCACTGTCTTTGCATGACCAGTCAACACTGCGTGAAGCTTTCTGGAGCTGTCTGAACCTTCTGGTAAGTTTTAATTGGCACTTTTCTCCATAAATTTCTATTTGCCATTAAGTCTGAACCAACTCATAGATGACTTGCCAGCAGGTTTAAAGAGGAGACTGTCCCTCCTTCTGCAGTCTTATCTATAGTTTGTCCTCTAACATATATTAATTTTGGCTCAAACTATCTCACAACCTTCACATCAATCTATGGCTTCTCTAAACCTTCGCAGGACACATCCCTGCAGGGAATCCTTGATGTGTCAGGATTCAAGTTACACAGGAACAATCAGATGCATCTTCTCCTGAATCACATTGCCACAGTTTACGAGGTGGTGATCACTATGTTTGTGTGCTCCAATTATTTATCCAGGGCCCCTATGAGCTTCTGGAAACTGTAATAAACACTCTATTATGGTCTATACAAATAAGCCTGACCCTTACAACAGCATTAAGCTAACAGCATTAAGTTCCATAGTTTGCTGAAAAAACATCAAAGGAATTGTGAGTATATTAGTTATAGTGTGTTCTCACTTTATATATAAGCTCCAGTTACTGCACAACAGAACCCAGAGGTCCTCCTCATACCTGAGGTGCTAAGTAAAGTTACGCTCTTAAAGTCTGTGCTATGGACAGGAATTACTTCCTCCTCAGGAAAAAAAAAAGTGTTCTAAATCCCAGCCTCTATGCTAGTGGTCATGATCAGTCTAGAGACTAAGGTGTGCAGGATCCAGGCCATGGTCTTTGCAATTACTTGCTATCCATCAGAGAGCTGGACAACGGCTAAGGAAGACAGAAGAAGAATCGATACCTTTGAACTATGGTGCTGGAGAAGAGTATTGAACATACCATCAACGGCCAAGAGAACAAACAAGTCTGACCTGGAGAGGGTGAAACCAACTTGCTCTCTGGAGGCAAGGATTTTGAAGTTCCATCTGATAAATTCAGAGCATGTTTCCAGGAGGAACCAGTCTTTGGAGAAGGACAACATGCTTAGAATAGTGGAGGAACAATGCAAGAGAGGAAGACTCTGAATGAGATGGACTGACACAGCGACTGGGGTAATAGGGGTAGGTGTGTTGGAGACAGTGAGACTGGCTCAGAATACGCCAAAGTTCAGAGCTATTGTGCATATAGGGTCACTTTGAGTAGCAGGTGATTTGACAGCACATACCTGTGGTTATAATCCCATTTAAGAATGGGTCATCTTTGTTACATGAATGAGGAAGGATTATGTAGTGCATATCTTTAATCCATTTGTTTTGTTATGAAGGAGATTAAACAAACAAGTTCTAAGAGAAGCAAAGATGAGGAAAAGAGATGTTAAACACATGAAGGCTTCCCAGGAGCAAAAGCTCAAAGAAACAAGGACCTTTCTCCAACAATGAGAAAGACCTTTCCTCTAGTAATGGCACCCTAAATTCAGACTTTTGAGTCTCCAAAACTGTGAGAAAATTTGTTTGTTAAAGTCACTCACTTGTGTTCTGTCATAGAAGTACAAGATCACAAAGACAAACTTGCACAAATAGAGATCTCCAAGTACCTAAAAAGCAGAAACTGTAAAGGATCCAGGATTTTCCTTTAGAGGCGACAGAAGGAAGAAACCTTCCCCAGAGCCAGCACATGTTTTTAACTTCTAGCCTCCTAAATGGTGAGAAAACAAATTTCTATTTGTTAAGGCTACACTCTCATGATATTTCTCTAATAGCAACACTAGATAACTGAGACTTAAGAATTCATACTTCTAAATCTTATTTCCAAAGTAACATTTAATCCATAACACAGCCATCTCAGTCATATAGAAAAAGGCTGTTTTTCTGATAAGGATTCAAAAAAAATGACCACTAAGGCATCAACATGCTGAAAACTCTGATTAAAATGTAAAGCTAGAACATACATGGTTATCATTGATAGACTCTAGAGAAGACTATTAAAGCCAAAAGGACTGATGATTAAAGGAAAACTAGAAAATTATTTCTTGGAACTCTTTCCTATCAGATTAATCTGAAACAACTAAGTGCAGTGTTTGATCTAGAACTAAATAGGCCAATACAACATAGGAAAAGTTGAAAACAATACCTTCTCATAGTGCAACTGGATTCCAAGAGCAATAATAAGGTATTTGTAGGAAATCTGTAACACAAAACAATGTTATTTCAGACCAGTGCCCAAGAAGTGGTATCCCAGGGGTTGAATGGAGCCCCAGACATGCTGACCAGTTTGACTTTTGGTTTTCTTTGTGGGTGACTTGGGGCTTAGGGTGACGGGCAGGTACGAACAAAGGGGTGAATGTACAAGCCTACCATTCTGCCCACAGTGCTGCTCTACTACCTCATGTATGGCTGCTTCACTAATGTCACATAAACTGCTTGGACCACAGAAGTTTGTTGTTGTTTTTGTGTGCCATTGAGTTGGAATCAACTCATATTTGACTCCTGTGTTTTAATACAGTGGAAAATGATAGCAAAGAAGCTGCATTTATCTGCAGTGCAGTGCTTGTATTAACAGTTTTTCAAGTTTTAGGGTCCAGGAATGGCTCCCTAACATTCAAAACAATCACTTCCTTTTAAACCTATGGTGTAATGTGTGGATTCCAAGCAAAATTGGTTTGTCATGTGGATTGGCTCATTATAACTGGGAAATCGCTCTTCTGAAAGTCATTGACATGAATGTGGTACAGTGTAATTGATTTGACTAGAATGGAATGATTCCCTCTCCAAATCTGTTACCTCCATGCCATTATCTGTGAGGATGCTGTTCTTGTCTGGGTTAAGTCCAACCACTCTTGATCTGATCCATTCTACTCCAGATGGGATCACACTTGCCATAGGACGACTAGATGAGGACAACTGTTTGGCACCAGCACCCACCAGGGTCCAGATTGGCTGATAGTAATGTCTCTGAGAAACAAAATATTTGGGGATTCATTTCAATTGGAGGCTAACAAAAGGATCTTTGCTACAGGTCTTTGAGCTAGAGTCTCTGTTATTCCCCTCTGACTCTTGGAGTATTCGCAGAAAAGTGTCCAGAAGGTTACTTTCTATTAGGTCAAACTCTGAAATATGGTCAATCATTAAAACTTCTGGCAAGGTCACTGAAAAAAAAAAACAGTACCATGGTACACATACACAAATGGAATGCTATACAATGTAAAGAATATAAACAATTCACCAAGCACCACATAACACGGATGACATTGTGCAAAATGAAATAAGCCAGTCACAAAAGAATAAATATTATGAGTTCACTGTTATAAAAAGGACCTCTAGTGGCCTATACAGCAATCCCATAAAGTTTTAGTGCACCAGCTAGTTCACAGGAGAACGGGCAGTCTTCTCTCATACGCTTTATTCCCTCTGAAAATCTGCTGGAGGGTCAGCAGTTCTGACTAATCTTACACACAAAGGAATTATTTGATGGCTACCAGGGAGGGAAGGAAAAATAGATACTTTAAAAAAATTATCCCCGGCGCTGGCTGAAAATTGCCTGTGACTTCATCCATAGCCACTGGTGAGAGTCAGCACCCAGAGCCATCAGGGGCTTTAAGCTCGTTG